TTATAATAAAGTGTGTGCATATGTGCTTTGGTTATTTGACCTCTGAATTAAGTGGAGTTTGGTCAAGAATCTGATTTAATGTATAAGCCTTTATGTACTTCTAAGACAGTGAAAACGAGGGTTTTTTATGAAACATTATTTCTTTTATACAAATGTACGTAATGAAATTTTATAATACAATTTTCCATCTAATCTTAACATTCAAGATGCTAATATTACCTTAAAAATACCACAACACGTGCATTGCACGAGTGTAAAGCTAGTATAGTTAAAAGAATGAAACTAAAGTCTTCTAGATGTTTGACACGTGGTCTTATCCTAACGACTCACAAGTCAAACACAATAATATCACATCTTAGCTATCATAAGTTTGTGACCTCCCACACAGTGTCCTAGGTGGGATAGATGGGATTTATTCCTAATTCCCTTGCGAAATGTCATATCAATCAAATCGTACACGAGTCAACGTGTGAGGTTACAACTTGTACAAAATGTCAAGATTTCGGACTTGGCCAGAGTTTGTAGGACCTTCCAAAGTGGCTAATGATCATATTCTACTTATTGCCTCAAAGAAGAAAGGTGACAAGTCTTCACAAAGTTACGATACCATGAACAAGGCGCTGCATTGTGCTATCAGAGATGAAAGGTGACCATACAATGGTATGCGGCCTCATTGCCTCTAAGAGCAGGTCCTACGGTGAAATTTTCCTTAGCTAACATTTACGTGTACTTCCACGTAGATAAATGTGTAACAAAAGATGTTCAATGCCATGAGATTTGTTGTTTGGATTTCCAGCCTAGATATTAAGTATAAGATCTAAGGATAGATGGGATTTCCTCCTAAAGCCCTTGTGAAATGTCACATCAATCAAATCGTATATGGCTCAACGTGCGAGATTACAATTTGTACAAAATGTTGAGATTTCTGATCTAGCCATCTCAGAGTTTGAATGACCTTCCAGAGTAGCTAATGATCATATTCTATTTATCCCCTCAAAGAGGAAAGGTGATAAGTTTGCACAAAGCTACGATGCCATGAAGAAGGCGTTGCATTGTGCTATCAGAGATGAAAGGTGACCATACAATAGTACGTGGCCTCATTACCTTTAACAGCAGGTCCTACGATGAAATTTTCCTTAGCTAACAATTACATGTACTTCCACGTAGACAATGTGTAACAAAAGATGTTCAATGCCATGAGACTTGTTTGTTTGGATTTCCAGCCTAGATACTAAGAATAAGATATAAGGATAGATGGGATTTACTCCTAACGCCCTTACAAAATGTCACATCAATCAAATCGTGCGTGGCTCAACGTACGAGATAACAACTTGTACAAAATGTCAGGATTTCGAACCTGGCTATCTCAGAGTTTGTAGGACTTTCCAAAGTGGCTAATGATTATATTCTACTTATCGCCTCAAAGAGGAAAGGTGATAAGTTTGCACAAAGTTACGATGCCATGAATAAGGCACTACATTGTGCTATCAGAGATTAAGGTGACCGTACGATGGTACGTAACCTCATTGCCTCTGAGAGCAGGTCCTACAGTGAAATTTTCCTTAGCTAATAGTTACATGTACTTCCACATAGACAAATGTGTAACAAAAGATGTTCAATGTCATGAGATTTGTTGTTTGGATTTCCAGCCTAGATACTAAGTATAAGATCTCAGGCTTTGCTTCAAAGCAAGCATTTTCTTCCTTCTAGTTTGTGGTTTGTTGGGAATGGTAGTCATGTTAACAGTTGTGGGTAGCGGACATTTAAGGGGTGGCGATAGGTAGTAGAGGTTTTGGTACAGTGGCGGAGTCAGAAATTTATGTTAGAGTGGGTTGAAATTTTTTTTTTCAATGAACTTATACCATAAAAGATGTTATATACCACACGAGATTTAGTGTAAAAGCTTAAATTCATGATACTCATAATAATGTGGGTCGAAATATATTTTTGGACACTCATAACAAAATTCTAACAAATGTATTTTTAACTAATAAAATTAAATATATAGCATATTACTTATTTTGATAATAATATCCATTTCATGGTCGAAATAAATAAATTTTTATCTCACGAGTATAAATATAAGTATTATATGAAAAAAAAAATACATTAGAAAAAATTTAATTACTTATAAGATTAGTCAAACATGTGGCATTTCATACTATTCAAATAAATCATTTACCTTTAATCAAAAAATTATTTGTTATATAATAAAATAATTGGATTATAAGTGAACTTTTTAAAGTTTGCTATAATTACGTGTGTGAAATAAAATATTTAATTTGATAATGAGTTATTTGTGTATCATGAATCCGAATAAAATAAAGAGGAAATTGCAAAAACTGTCAACTTTTACATAGTCATTTGCTAAAAAGTCCAAATTTTCTTCAATATCCATTTTACTATAATATA